CCTCTACTCTTTTCTAGAGGAGATTGTGGAGCATTGGTATTTTTTCTTACTTAAATATTTGGTAGAAGTCACCAGTAAAGCCATCTGGGTCAGATGCTTTCTTTCTTGGAAGATTATTGACTCAGTCTCTGACTACTCAGATTATTTATTTCTCCTTGTGTAAGTTCTGATAGTTTGCATCTTTTGAGGAATTGGTCTATTTCATCTAATTATCAAATTTGTGGATATAGAGTTGTTTATAGTATTCCTTTATTATCTTTTTAATGTTTATGGGATAATTAATGATAATCTATAGTCTATTGTTGACACTAGTATTGTATTGTTTATATTTTTAAATTTCCTGTATATTATGATGTTTTGACATCTTAAAAAACCTTTCTGTTTGGGATAGATTGTCTCTCCTTGAGCTAGCCAGTTCTCAGAGATAGCAAAGGGCTCAGCCGAAAGTATGTCTTTGATATGCAAACTACTCAATCCAAAATTATATCTCCTCTATCTGTCCTGTTCACCCCAAAAGGCAATATTCCTCTGCCTTAATCTCCCAGGGCCGGTTACCAAGCAACTAGCAACAGCTCTTATCCCCCAAGGCCTGCCGAAATTATTCAAACTAGCCAATTCTAAACTGTTTTCCATGCCTTGCCTTGCTTCTCCTGTGGAAACCCCAATAAAGGCTAGCCTAGGTTTTTCCCCCTCATTCCTGTTTTGTCTCCTGACCACCCTAAAGTTTTCCCATGTAATCCTGTATGTCATGCTGCGCCTCCTGTTTCTAGGATCTTGAATATAATAAACTTTGTCTGCCTAAGCCTTTCCTGTGTCTTCTATTGTGGTTGTACCTGACCATCACATACAGAACACAGAACAGGTAATTTTGTGTCTTCACTCTTTTTTTCTTGGTTAGCATGGCTAGAGGTTTATTGATTTTATTGATCTTTTCAAAAAAACAGATTTTGGTTTCTGTGATTTTTTTCGATTGTTTCCCTGTTTTCAATTTCATTGATTGCTGCTCTAATTTTTTTTTTTTATTTCTCTTCTTTTGCTCTGTTTAGCTTAAATTGCTCTTCTTTATCTCATTGGCTAAGGTGGAACCTTAGATTGTTGATTTTAGATTTTTCTTCCTTTTTAAAATATGCACTTAATGCCAAGTACTCTAAGCACTGCTTTCATTGCATCTCACAAGATTCTATAAGTTGTATTTTCATTTAGTTCAAAATGTTTTCAAATTTCTCTTGAGACTTCTTCTTTGACCATGTATTATTTAGGAATGTGTGTTTAACCTTCAAATATTTGGGTATTATCCAGCTATTTTTCTGTTATTGATTTCTAATTTGATTCTACTGTGGCCTGAGAACATAGTTTGTATGATTTCTGTTATAAGTTGAATTGCATCCCTCCAAAAGATATGTTGAAGCCCTAAACCCCCACCCCCACCCCAACCTGTGAATATGACCTTATTTGGAAATAGAGTGTTTACAGATGTGATCAAGTTATGATGTGGTCACTAGGGTGGCTCTGTAAAATGAGTGCCTGGCAATAAGCTTTTTAAAATTGTAATATATGTAACATTAAGCTGGGGCATCCATTTCAAACACATCCATCCCAAATAAACATATTGTTAGCTGGATGATACAGTTACTAGATAAACAACTAGATAAGGATCCAGTCTTCCCCCTCCCATGAAGTTCTCCTTTTAGAAAGTACTGGTAACCTAGATAACTGACTGCTTGATTAGACCCATGTATCCCTTCCTGCACCCTAATTCCTAGTCTTATGTATTAAAACTCACCAATAAAAAGTGAACCTGTGAAACCATAGGCACCCCATTCTCAACCCTGATAAAGGCAGAACCTCAGGTTTGCACACTGTCTATCCCCAACCCTTTCTCTTTGCATGGCCCTTGGGCTTGCCATGTATCCTCTGGGGCTTGTGAGTAATAAACTTTGTCTTCTCAAAGTTCCCTGATGGTTGTTACTGAGATATGTTTTGCAGTCATAGTGAGAGCCATAAGATCCAGTCCAGCTACAACACTGGTTCTGGTTGGGGAAATGTCTTTGTGTGTGTAGGATGTTTGTGGGGGTGACCACAAGTAGTAAGGGCCCAGATGTGTACTCCTAGGCATTCCTAGCCAATAACATCACTATTAATAGGCTGAAACTAACATGATACAGGGTCCAAAGCCAATAGACTGGAGTCTTTATGAGAAGATGAAATGTGTAGACAGAGACACACAGGGAGAATGCTATGTGACTACAGAGGCAGAGATTGGAATGATGCAGCTGCAAGCCAAAGAATGCCAAGAAGTGACAACTGCCACAAAAAAAAACAAAAAAAAACAAAAAAAAAACAAAAAAAAAACAAGAAAGAGGCAAGGAAGAAGTCTTCCCTACATGTTTCAAAGGGAGCATAGCATGGCCCTGCAAACACCTTGATTTTGGACTTCTAGCCCCCCAAATTGTTAGATAATACATTTGTTTTCTGTTAAGCCACCCAGTTTGTGGTATTTTGTTACAGCAGCTTGAGGAAACTAACATAATTTCTATTCTTTTAAATTTATTAATGTGCATTTTACGGGCCAGAATGTCTTCTGTTTTAGTAAATGTTCCACGTGACCTGGAGAAAAATGTGTATTCTCCTGTTGTTGGGTGGAGTATTTGCTAAATGTCAATTAGATTGAGTTGATTGATAGTGCTGTTCAGGGCAATTATATCCTTACCAATTTTCTGCCTACTTGATCTATCAATTACTAAAAGAGGGGTGTTGAAATCTCCAAATATATCAGTAGATTTATCTATATCTCTTTGCAGTTCCATTAGTTTTTGCCTCATTTTGACACTCAAATTTTAGATGCAGACACATTAAGGATTGTTACGTCTTCTTGGAGAATTGACCTCTTTATCATTATATAATTCTCCTTTTTGTTGCTGATAATTTTCTTTGTTCTCAAGTCAGCTTTGTTTGAAATTAATATAGCTTCTCCAGCTTTCTTTTGATTAACATTAGTATGATGTGCTTTATTTCTTGGCTTTTTCGTTTTAATAATTTATTTTTAATGTTTTAACAACTTGATTGATGTATTTCACCTTCTTACAATTCACCCACATACTGTACTATTCATTGGCTTTTAGTATATTCACGGAGTTGTGCAACAATTATCACAATTATTTTTAGAACATTTTCATTACTATCCCTCTGCCAAAAAAAAAAAAAAAAAAGAAAGACCTTATGACCACTTAGCCAACTCCCCATCATATGCTAGAGCTGGCAACCACCAATCTACTATCTCTATAGATTTACCTATTGTGGATATTTCATATATTATATGGTCATGTTTGAATGGGATCATATGTGTTTTTTCGTGATTTGCTTCTTTCATAAAGCATGTTTTTAAGGTTCATTTGTATTGTAGTATGTATCAGTACTTCATTCCTTTTTGGTGCCGAATATCGTATGAATATAATACTTTTTACTTACTAATTACAGTTTATGATCATTTGGGTTATTTTCACATTTTGGCTATTCTGAACAATGCTGCTATAAGCATTTGTGTATACATTCTTTTATGAAGTATATGTTTTCATTTTTCTTAGGTCTATACCTAAGAGTGGGTTGCTGGACCATGTTGTAACTGTGTGTAAACTTTTGAGGAACTGCCAGACTGTTTTCCACAGCAGCCGCACAATTTTATATTTTGGATACAGTATCTGAAGGTTTGAATTTCTCCGTAGCCTCCTTAACTCTTGTTATTGTCCATCTTTTTGATTACTGTATAGTCATCCTAGTGGGTGTGAAGTGGTAGTTCACTGTAATTCTGATTTCCATTTCCCTGAAGACTAATGATATTGAGCAGCTTTCATTTGTTTTCAGCTGTTTGTATACGTACTTTGGAGAAATGTCTATTCAGAATCCCTGCCCTTTTTTTACTTGGGTTATTTGTCTATTTTTGAGTTTTAATAGCTCTATGTATTCAAAATACAAGTCTCTTATCAAATGTAAGATTTGCACATTTTTCCTCCCTTTCTGTGCTCTGCCTTTTCCCTTTATGATATCCTTTGAAAAAAGACATTTTTAATTTTGTCAGTGTTCAATTCATCGATTTTTTTCATTTGTTGTTTGTGTTTTTGGTGTCATATCAAGAAATCATTACCTAATTCAAGATGGTGAAAATTTACACCTGTTTTCTTTGAAGAGCTTTATAGTTTTAGCTAAAGTTTAACTCTTTGATCCATTTTGAGTTAATTTTTGTACTTGATGTGAGAAAGTGTCCAACTTCATTCTTTGCACGTGGATATTCACTTGTCCCTGTACCACTTGTTGAAAAGATCATTCTTTTCCCCACTGAATGGTTTGGGCATCCTGGCTGAAGATTATGTGACCCTAAATATAAAGGTTTGTTCTGGGCTCTCAAGTTTATTCCCCCCAAATTGGAACTTTTGACTGCTTACTATGTTAAAAGCACAATGATAAGCACAATTCATTTACTCCTCGTAGTAACTCTGGGCACTATTCTTACTCTCATTTTACTTATTAGTCACCGTAGAGTGATCTATCCAAGACTATACAGCTAGTAAGTGGCACAGCCAGGACAGAAACTTAGGTCTAACTTGGGAGTCTGAGCGCTTACCCATGCTATCAATAAACGTGAGATATCAGAACTTAGAAGGCGACTGAAGAGTTCATTTTAAACAAAACAGGTGTAGATCGGATTGTCCACTAACTTTGAAAAAGCACAACGGTGTAGGGGCTTTACCGTGCTGCTTCCTACTGAGTATAGGCAATGGACCTGCCTACCTTGGTTGGTTGAAAATTGTTCACGCCAACTTAAGAATTTATAAGTCAACGCACTACACTGGCTTCCCAGGGGCAGCGCAACGCCTTGTAAAGCCTTTAAAGCTGAGGGGCACAGACGCAGCGGAGCCCACGCCCAGACCCCTGCCCCCAGCCCTTCACCCCAGCCTTGCCCAGCTCTCCCCGCAAAACGTGGGAGTGAGCGGAGTAGGCGCCCTCAGCGAGAGGCTGCTAGGGATGAGTTAGCTCTCGCGGGAAGTGGTGTCGTTGCTTTGGTAACGGCGTCGCGGTCGTGAAAGATGGCGGGGCGAGGTCTTGGCGCCCGGGTCAGTTCAACCCGTCTCCTGGGTAGTGAGTGGGTTCCGGGCGGGCCAGAGGATGGCAAACTACGTTCACTCCGGGTCTGAAAGTCTCGATCTCTTTACAGAGACGGCCCGTTTCAGGAACTCGGCTCCCGCCGCGCGTTCGGCAGCCTGCTACACCTAGGCGGGACCTCCTCGACAAGGAGGAAGAATATAAGTAAGAAATTTGCCGGTTAAGCTGCTTCTTTCTTTCACCTAAATGAGGCTGCTTAGAAGTACTTTTCCTGGTGACCGATTGGATCTTTGAGATTACTCGCCAGCATTCTCTTCCATCATCCTGTTCGCTTGCCCTTCTTCATCTTTTCTTTTTAAACATGAACTCGCCTGCGTCCTAGAAGTGTTTAAAGTGGGCGAAAATTTGATTTAACCCAAGTAAACATATTCGTCAATCAGATAACTGCTAGAAGTGGTTGGATAGTGGGAATTGCCACGGATAGTTCAATTTCTGGTTTAAGGAATTCCACTTAATTCCCAGTTCCTAGAATTTATGTATGTAAATTTTTTTAGACTTTGTTTCTAAATTAAAAGCATGTTTCTCAGGGCATTTGGAATTACCGTTCTTGTCCACATTTGGTAGATTTGGGAGAAGGATTTTCATTCCTTACCTGCTCTCAGAGTAATTACAACTACCCTAACAACACATTTTCACTCTTAGACCATCTCTCGTCATCCCCCAGTTTTCACACAGATGCCGAGAGTAATCTTTTAATTAGATCATGTGACTCCCTTGTCTCAGACTTGCAGTGGTTTCCTGTTGCATCATTTTTCTAACCACTCTCCAGCCTAACTGGCCTTTTAGTTCCTCAAGCTTTTCCCTTTTTCCTTGTGCACTTGCCTTCTACCTGAGAATTCTCAAAGTGGCCTTGACTATGCTAAGTAGGCTCTGTTACTTTTTTTTTTTTGTCGTATTAGTTTTTCTTTGCAAATAGCATAACATTACAATAAATTCTTTTGTTAATTTTATGTCTTTTTCTTCCAACGGACAATGAATTCCACAAGGTCCGAGACCATGTATTTTACTTACCATCATATATACTCTTACAAAAAGATTATGTTTTAACACTTTCTTTTTAAAGTAACTAATTTAAAATTTGGAAAACATTCTAGCAGTTCATCAAACACTTAAACAGAGTTTAAGTTTAATTTATACTTAAAATTAAAACCATATTTAAAGTTAAAATTGAAGTGTGCTCTAGATGAATGAGAACATGCCAACTTGCCATAGCATGTGAGAACATAATCATCCTCTATTTGATGAAATGGGTATTATTCCAATTCAAGAGTGTATGTAAGCAACAAATCTGTTGTCTATATACAGTTCTGAATCAGCCGTGCTCAACCAAAAATGGTTATTTCATTACCGTACATCATACTAAATACCTGTACTATTAGGTTTATTCGTTTAGTTTATTTAAGGGTATATTTAACAGGGCTCTGGTTGTTAGAGATATGGTCCTACTTAAAGGCAGACATCTTTAGGAGCCGTTCTATTTCAGTAAAAGTTGCTTCCTGGTAAAGGCGCCCAGGTGTTACTTGTTCTGTTACCTATACTCTCTGGTGTGCAAATCTGAGGAATTTGAACAGAGTAGTTCCCAGGCTCTGTCTGAAGCTTGTTAATCACTTTTGTGCCATGGAGAAAAGTAAAATATGTCCATTCTTTGTGTGTGTGTGTGTGTGTGTGGTGAAATTGGTATACGTTATATATATTTCAGATGTACAACATTATAATTCAGTATTTGTATACATTACATAGTGATTACCACTGCAAGTCTTAGCTTCCCCTTCTCCTCAGTACCCTGCCCCTCTGGTAACTGCCAATCTGTTGTTTGTATCTATAAGTTTGTTTTTGTTTTTTTTCAGATTCCACATTGAAGAGAAATCATATTGTATTTGTCTATGACCATTCTTATAGGCAAGAATATGAGTTTATAAAAGTTTTTTGCTACATGTTGTCTTGGTGTTAAGCATATTAGGATGTCTTTTCAATCAGTCAAGCACAGGTCTTCCCCGGGATCCCAATCCAGAATATTCTACAATCAACTCCTGTCAAATAGTTGGAGGAAATAATCACTATCTGGGAAGATAGACTAAGGAATGTGCTGATCATTGAATTCAATAGATTTTTTTCAAATTTCATGCATGTATATCATAAAACCAGAGACCTTATAAGATTATGTGTCATCTTTTTTCATTGGCTTTGAAAACTGGTAGGGCAAGCCTCAGCCCCTCTCCCTAACTGCCCAAACCTCTGCCTGTAAATGCTAATTACATTGTATTTATAGATTAATTTGTATAGAACTGACATCTTTATGCTGTTGAATCTTCTTTTCCACGAATATGGTATATCCATTTATACAGGGATGTTTAAATGTCCTTTAAAAATATTTTTTTATATTCCTACATAAAAGTCTTACACATATAATTTTTTCAAGGTACTTTATAGTTTTTGTTGCTATAATGAATGACCTTTTTTTCTATTGCAGTTTCTAAATGGATAGGTGTATAGGAACTTTATTAATTTTTGTATGTTCATTCTGCACTTATAGATAGATGTAGATTGTCAGCTCTGCTAAACTTTTATTCATTCCATAGAGTTACTTGGATTTTGGATAAAGACAGTTACATGCAAGTTATGATATAGAAAGTGGTGAAGAGCATCTTTATCTTGATTATGATTTTAAGTAGCCCACTTTAAATAACTTGTCACTGCATTTGTTTGCCGTAGATTTATCAGGCTTAAGGAAGCTGTTTTCCTTAATTCCTGTTTTGAAGGAATATTAATTTTATCAAACTTTTTTTCCTGAAGTGATGAAATGTTTTTCTCACCCCCTCGTTTAATGTTTTAACATACTGAACTACAAAGGCAGATTTCTTGTTTTTCTTTAAAGACTGTTGGATTTGATTGCTTTATTTTACAGTTTTTATTTTTTATTTTTGCATCTATGAATAAAAGTGAAATTGGTCTTATACTTTTTTCTAATTCTTTTTCTTTCTGATTTTGAAACCTGTGTTATCCTTGCCACATGAAATAAGCTGAATGGTTTTCCTTTTTTGTTTTATTCTGTTCTTGGAAGCTTTTTGTTATCAGGGATCATCTGCTCTTTGATGAAAATTGTGAAACAGTCTGGTATGGGGTACTTTTTGCCTATCAATTTAGTTTCTTTAATAATTGTTGCTTCCAGAATAAGTTTTGGGTATTTGATAGTTTTCTAGAAAAGTGCCCATTTAATGTATGTTTTAATTTTATTAGCATAAATTTATTCTAATTCTCTTATGTTTTAAATCTTGGCTGTGTCCGTAACCTTATATACACCTTTTGGGGACTTTCCAATATTTATTTTTGTCTTTCTAGTAGGTTTATATATTTACTGGTTCAAAGAATTAGCTTTTGGTTTTATTGCTAACCTATTTTTTTTTTAATTTCATTAGTCTTTATTATTTCTATCTGTTCTAATTGTGGATTTATTTTTTCCTTTTTTTGTTTTTTCTTATTTTTTAATAAATATATTTAATTTCTGTAAATTTCTCTTCATTTACAGGTTATCTGTAGTTCAGGACCTGTTTTGATATGTATTTCTTTTGTGGTCATTTAATAGTTTTGAATATTTTATGATTTTCATAATGATTATTTAAAAATAGTTTCTAAACATGTTTTTCATGTTATTTTAAAATTATTTGCAGTATGGCCAGAAAATGTATATAATATTGATTTTCGGAAATGTATTGAAACTTAGTTGTGACCAAGTACATGCTCACTTTTTGTAAATATCCTTTGATAAAAAGGATATTTAATCCTTTGATAGAAAGGATATTTACTATATATAGACTGTCTGTTAGATCAAGCTAATTAGTTTTGATGTCCATAACATCAGTTTATCATCATTTTATTTCTCTTAGCTATATTGGTTTCTGTTAGAGATGTGCTAAAATCATCTCGAATTTTAAAATAATTCTAATAATTGTGTCCATTTTTGTTTGGGAGCTATATTTGATTTACTTAAGTTCTGTAGATGAATTATTCCTTTCATTATTACAGACTTATCTTTTTTAATTCCTTTATTTTCAAACATTTTATGTCATTTAGCTTTAAGAGTATTCCTTTTATATTGTCTGATAATTTCTGCCTTCTAATAAGTGAATTTATATTATTAATTTGAAGTCGTTTTGGCCATCTTATTTTTCGTGTTTTCTATTTACTGTCCCTTTTCTTGGGTCCTTTTCTTTCTTCTGTTAGATTGAATGAGTTTTGTTATGTCTTTATTTTTCTTTTACTGGTTTGGAAAGACCTTAGACTGCTTTAACTTGGTTTCCCCTTGTCTGTCAAGTTAGATATTAGGTAATACTTTACTTGTTCTTTGTTTTGAATAACCTTACCTGTTATTTTTACATTCTATACTAATTTAGATTTATCATTAAGTTTATCATCATTCTTTTTCTCCAGGTTCACTTCCCTTATTCCTGAAGTATAGATCCCTGAAATTTTGAGTCTTAAATTTTCCAGTCTTTTCTGAAAATTTTGTTACTTTGCACGTATTCTCTAAAAACAGTTTAGCTGAACATAGAATTCTAAATGCCTGTTTTTGTCCCCCAGTATTTATTAAAGATACCATTTCATTGTCCACTGGAATCTAGAGATGTTGATGAGCCATCTACTATTAGCTTTTTAGATAACCATGTTGGCAGACTGTCTGTTCTTATTAAATATTTGCTTTGGTAGTTTAAAGAATATTCTCTTTGTATTTGAAGTTTGGCAGTCTCACTATGATGTGTGCAGGTGTGGATTTGTTTTCTTAATTCTGCTTTAGATCTATATCGTTCTTCAATTTTGGAAAATTCTCAGCATTATCTCTTCAAATCTTGATGTTCCCACCTCTGGAATTTTTTGCAGCAACTTCTATTAGGTAGATGTAAATCTGTCTTTGTCATACAATGTCTTCAGTGGATATTAACCTCTCTTTTGTATTTTTCTTTTTCTCTGTACCTCCTTGCAGGTGATTTCCTCACATCTGTCTTCCAATTCATTTGCTCCCTCTTCAGTTTATTCTATTGTTCAACTTACTCATTAAGTTTGAGTTTTTTAACTTCAGTGACTCTCTTCATATATGTAATTTCTATTTGTATTTTTTCCATATTCAGTGTTTTTTGTAATGTCTGGTTCTTGCCTATAGTTTCTGTTCTTGCTTTTGTTTTTAAACAAAAAATGCATATTTAAAAATCTTTTAAAGATTATTTTATTATCTCTAGATTTTACAGTACAAATTTTGTTGCATCTGCTGATTCTCTTGCTGACTTGTTTCTTTATGCAATTTGTTATCTTTACAAAGTAATCTTTAACAGTGTTTAATTTTTGAGAGAGTTTTATATGTTATATAGATGAGTAAATGTCCCTGTGGGTGGTTTTGCATTTAATTTATTAGAGTTATCACTGGTTCTAGGCCAACTTTCTATATTAAAGTTTTGACAGAGAGTCCCTATACCATTTGGGTAAGATGAACTTGGACCATATTCCTGTGTGCTGTCATTACTCACAAGACAGTCTTTTCCACCCATGGCTCTAGTTTCATTTCCATTCACCTAAGGTTATGGGTAGCATTTTGTAGTCTGTATTTCACAGGTGTAGCTCTTCATGACTCCCACACATGCATCATTTTCTAGCTGTTGAGCTATTTTGGTTTCTGTTCCTGTTTACTGCTCTCACTTTGAGTTGCTGCTTTATTTTTGGTGCCAGGGTATTTCCCTTGCCTGAGTTTGACCTTAGCAATATTTCCTTCATTACATTTTATCCAGCATTTCCATGGTCTGGAGCAGAAGAATAGCCTTCTGAGTCATCTTGTCTACTATATTAACCAGAAGCTTCTAATGGTTCTTGTTAGGAAAATGTGAAAAATCAGATAATAGTATCTTAAATGGAATTTTAAATCTTTATTAGATATATTTTTTGAATAACTTATCTTAAGATGTAAAAATATTTCTTAAAACATTGACTATTTTAAGAAAAGATATAGTACTGCTTTTTTTTGCCCCCTAGGAGTCAGTGTTATAAGTGGTTTGTAACTTCTGAATCACATAGCTAAAAAACAACAAAATATTTTATTTTTAAAATTACTCAACATATTTCCGTCATATAATTTCAAAAGATTCTAGATGGTCTAGAAATGTGACCTATGAATAGAATTAAAAAGTTATATGCTTTTGAAGATGTTTATTACCACGTTATCCTTTAAAAGTGAAAAAAGGACTTGAACTAACAATAGGAGTAGATTAGTACATTGTTAATTTCAATGCATTAGAATATTTTATAGCCATTGAAGGCACTGATTATAAAGAGATAAGCATTCCTTCTGTTATGGGAAAACATACTACAAAATTGTCTGTGTGCTATAGGTGAAAAATAGGGGGAAATGTTATAAAAATGTCATGGCAACACTTAGACCAAAAGAGGCCTCTCTCCAACCCTGTCCCACTCCTGTCCCCAGCTGGAGTTGATCCCTAGATGAAAAGTGGAACTGCGTTGAACCCACCAGTTTATTCTTCCCAAATAAATCATTTCACCTGAAGTGAAGGCCAGAGAAAGGCCAACAGTTACACTATTTGAATTTCTACCACAAAGGAGTAATCATGGGGAGTTGGAGATAAGTGTTCTAATAGTTATGTTAATTTTAGAATAAAGTGTTATGTTTGTTTTGACATTAGTTGATTAGCTAAAGTGTAGTTAGTAAAATTTAATTACTTTTATTTGTTAGAGTCTTCGGTATATCGCAATTATTGTTTTCTGCTTTTAGGCGTTTAAATGCAGAATTGGAGGCAAAAACAGCTGATCTGGTTCGACAAGCTGACGAAGTAATAGTAAGTAAATGTACAATTTTTAGTAATTCCATGTAAGTGCTACTATTTTAATTTATTAATATGATTTATGACAGATAAAAAAGTACCCAAAGCATAAATTTTCAGTTCAATGAATTGAACATGAATATATATATAAGTATGTGTATATGTATGTGTGTGTTTTTGATAAGCACACATTTTCTAAAAGCCACTGAAAAGTTGTTTTCCATTTAGATGTCTAATCAGCTAATTAGAATATTAATATTTAATAATTTTTCCCACTATTTTAAGATTAATATTTGAGAGTAGCTGTATAGAATTAACAGTGGTAATTCAGTAAGGAAAGGAATAAAGTGGTCTCTGGACAAAAGTTGAATAAAGGATAATAGTTGTCAGATAATAATTAGTTTCTTGAACTCTGCAGTTGTATATAACTGATTCTTAAGGCTACACCATTATCAGATTTATAGTCAGGAAGAATGTAGTGAGATTATAACACTAGATAATGTAAGCATATTTTGCCCCATTCTGGGTACCAGATTTGTTATTCCTGTTTTAAGCATCCCTCCTTAAGCACCAGCATTCTCATTATTAATTGACAGGATATAGTTGCATTCCTTGGAATAAAGTGGCTGCTTGCAAACTTTTTATTCTAATTTAATTATAATTCTTTCTTTTAAACCCCACCCCCACCCTGCCTTGGTGTTGATGGGAAGAATAGGTTATATTTTATTTTAATGCCTTATACAGATCCATCATTGTTTGATAATTTAGAAATAAAAAACGTGTGTGTGTTTATGTGTGTGTGTGTAAATAAAATATTTCAGATAATATATTTAGATTAGTTGTAGATTCATTAGTTGCATTTATAATTAAATATTTCACTAAAAGAAATATTCTATTATACCTTTTAGTTTTTGCCAGTGTCTGAAGAGCAGGACTGAAGAAAGAAACCCAATGTTATAGTAGAACGAGGGATTCATTATTCATTCTGCTCAAAGGGCCCTCTAATAAGGACTTTATATATCTAAAGAGTAGAAAACTGGGAAGAGCTGGCAAAAGAGAGAGGGCATTTCTATCTCTACAGAAGCTAATGGATATAACTTTTGCCACAGTGAATTTTTGTTTACTCACTTTCATTTCTTGATATATCTTCACCAAAAGCTTTTACTTTTAGTGATTCCTTTTTAGCATTTTCATGGTCTCCTTAACATTGAAGCTTTGCATGATTTACAAGTTTTTCTACCCATTAAACAGATTTATGTTTTTATTTCTTGTGAGTCCAATTTCCTTTGCATGTTACACAAGATGGAAGACTCTAGTGGGGAAACAGGAGTTGATAAGATCATATAAAGGCATTGACACTCTTATGTTTTTCCCTTAAAATTGACTTCTTAACCCAGAATGGATAAAAGTGAAACCTTATTTTCATACCATAGCATGTAGATTTCAGTGCCTTGATTTCATGGAAACTGTGGCCAACTCTGAAATGATTAATGATCAGAAAGGCACTTGAATAAATCCTAGTTTAGTGGTGTTTTTTCCTCTATGACTTATCCTTATTCATTTAACTAGAGAGATCAGCAAGAAGTACGATCTAGGCCTACTTCAACACAAATTAAATCATGTGAAGAGGAAGATGATTACAGTTTAAGGTAAGTGACTTAAATTAGTAAGCATTCTTTTTTTTTTTACTGAGTAAATGCTTTAAGATATTTTTTTTAACTTAAGGTATAATTGATATACAACATATTAGTTTCGGGTGTATAACATAATGATTTAATATTTTTATATATTGTGAAATGGTCACCACAATAGTCTCGTTAACGTCTGTCACCATACATGGTTACAGAATTTTTTTTCTTATGAAAAGAACTTTTAAGATCTACTTTCTTAGCAACTTTCAAATATGCAATACAGTATTACTAACTGTAGTCTTCATGCTGTACATTATTCTCCATTACTTATTTATTTTGTAACGTAGTTTGTACCTTTTGACACCCTTCACCCATTTTGCCCACTCTTCATCCCCCAGCCTGTGACAACTTCCAATGTGTTCTCTTATCTACGAGCTTGGGTTTTTTGTTTTTGCTTTTGTTTTGATTCCACATATGAGATCATACAATATTTGTCTTTCTCTGCCTGACTTAATTCAGTTAGCATAATGGCCATGTTGCAAATGTATTTCATTCTTTGCGGCTGAATAATGTCCCATGGTATTTGTATACCACATCATCTTTATCCATTTATCCATCAATAGACATTCATGTTGTTTCTATATCTTGGCTATTGTAAATGATGGTGCAGTTAATATGGGTGCATATATCTTTTTGAGTTTGCAGTTTTGTTTTCTTTGGGTAAATACCCAGAAGTGAAATTGCTGGATCATATGGTAGTTCTATTTTCAATTTCGTGAAGAACCTCCATATTGTTTTCTAAAGTAGCTGTACCATTTTATGTTCCCACCAACAGTGCACAAGGGTTCTCTTTTCTCTACATCCTCACCAGCATTTATCTCTTTTTGTTAATTGCCATACCAACAGGTATGAAATGTTATCTCATTGTGATTTTGATTTGCATTTCCCTTATGATTAGTGATATTGAGCATCTTTTCATGTACCTGTTGGCTATCTATATGTTTTCTTTGGGAAAATAATGTCTATTCAGATCCTCTGTCCTATTTTTAATCAGATTTTTTTTTTGGTATTGTATGAGTTCTTTATGTATTTTGGACATTAATCCTTTATCAGATATATGATTTGCACATATTTTCTTCCATTCAGTACGTTGCCTTTTCATTTGTTGATGGTTTCCTTAGCTGTGCAATAGCTTTTTAGTTTGATGTAGTCCTACCTGTTTATTTTTGCTTTCATCGCTTTTGGTGTTAAATCTAAAAAAACATCTCCAAGACTGATGTTGAGTTTACCACCTATGTTTTCTTCTAAGAGTTTTATGGTTTCAGGTCTTACATTCCAATCTTTAATCCCTTTGAGTTAATTTTTGTGTATGATGTAATATAATGGTCCAGTTTCATTCTTTAAATATGACTGTCTAGTTTTCCCAACACCATTTATTGAAGAGACTGTTCTTTCCTCATTGTATATTTTTGTCTCCTTTGTTGTAAATTGGACTATATATGCATAGGTTTATTTTTGGGCTCTCTATTCTGTTCCATTGATCTATGCCATTACCATGCTATTTTGATATAGTTTTGAAATTGAGAATATTTTTTGATGATGTATATGGATCTTTTATTGCATAAAATCTTTTTGCATGTATTATAAATCTATAATTTGAAGAATAACTTAACATATAAAATACTAATAATTGGGGCCTTATTCCAGTCAGATACAATGTATAAGTCCTTTACATTATCATTTAATTCTCAGTATTATTTTAAAATATTATTGTCCTCATTTTAAAAATGACGAAAGTGCAGCTTAGAGAAGTTCAGTAGTTTGTCTGACAACATATGGATAAGACGTGATTTTACTGAGATCCAAACCAGAGTTGATAAGATTTCTAAACCAATTATCAGATACTATACTACCTTTCTTTTAAAATTGCGTATCAAGATTAGGTAAAAATAAATAAATTTGTGAAAGTAAAATGTATTAGATCTTTTTTCCTTGAATTTCATGTGAACTTCAGATATGTCAAGAAATTAGCGACCAAAAAAATATTTAGGATTAAATTTACAGGAAAAGTATAGAATCTGTGTGAATAAAATTATAAAATCTTGTAGCAGAGGCAGTGGTGATCACCAAACATTCCAAGTCTTTTGCTATGAGCAAAAGTCAAATTATTCTTTTCCAAGCCTAAACAGACAAGTTAACTGACTCTATCTCTGCTGTGATTAGTGAAAATTGAGTTGGTGAAATCTCCCAGCCTGGTCTCTGGGTGATCATGTGGAACATAAAGAAAAAAGGCCCGTTTTCCCTCTCTACTGCTCCTTTGCATTAAGCCACTGAAAAACTTAAAACTGTAGAGACAGAAATCAGATAAGTGGTTGTGTGGGGTTTGGGGGATGGGAGAGGATGAACTACAAAGGGAGCACACGGGAACTTTTTGGGATGATGGAAATATTTTCTCTTTGTTGTTCTACTGATTACATAACCAAATAAGTCTGTTCAAATTTATAGAACTGTATACCTAAAAAGGATGTATTTTACTATTTGTAAATTATATCTCACTAAACCTGGAATAAATAATTTTTGAACACTACCAGGTCTAGCTACTGGTGGTACAATGGTGAGTAAACAGACCAGGTGCTGCTCCCAGGTAGTTAATGCCTAGTGTGTTGCTTTTTAATTTTTTCTGAAATTAAAAAAATTTTCCAGAAAACATTTTTATATCATTTGATATTTACATGCCTGTATGTACATATAAGATAAAACTACTTGCCTTATGTAATGCTCTGATATTTTATGAAAAATGATGCTTAATAGTTATCAAAATTCCAAACTTTGAATTACAAATAAGATTAGGCACAGCTTTTCTTCAGTAAACTAAAAGATTGAAATGATGGTAACAACAGCTGATCTCTAGGTTCTGTTGAAGCAAGTGAGAGACTGATTTCACAAACATAAAAATAAATCTGTTGATTTTCTTTCACTAAAGTTTCCTTATGTGCAAAGTGGTGATGACACTTCTGTTTACCTAGATCAGGTGGATTTTTTTTTTTAATGATTCTGTTTGAACAGATGGCTTTTACCACGTGACTATTAGTTGGAATTGCTGAAGATGAGAGATAATTCTGTTAAGAGACAATCTATTTCAGCTTGGAACAATGATAATTTAAATTATTATAAGTAGTGTATAATAGGTCTTCAACATCCAGGGTTATTCTGCCAAGCAATGTAATAGAGAAACCAGAATTTAGTTTCTTAAAAGTATAGCATACATATCCTTCAGTTTGCTGGCAGAGAGTTTTACTACACAAATCATTTCAATCATATTACACACAAACATTTCATGGAGATGTTTAACAAAAATAATCAGAATACTGTGATTTTGTTCATTTTTTATGGAAATATACAAGCAAAGTAATAACACTTTGCTAAAACCAATGGAAACATAACCGTTAAATGTCTCTTGGCTGATATTTATGTGTATGTGGCAGAGGGAGGAGTGATAGAAGATGCAGAAAATGTAAGGAAATACCAAATATTAATTTAAAATGAGGATGATTAAAGAGGATACTTAAAATTTGTATAAAATTTGGAAACATTTTTATGTCATATGTGAGAATGATTCTGTAGTCTCTAATTTTATTTTAAAACCTCATTTTTCTCCCAGAGCTATTTCTGGTTCTTTAAGTGGTTGTATTTAATAATATCTATCTAAGTATATGTTTAACATTGAAAACACCTATATATGAGTAGTTCAGTAGGTGGCAACTGATGGAAAGTAATTTTCTTTTTATGTCCTCTACTGTGGTTAGGAGTTCTCAAGGGATATGATGTAGTTTCCTTCTTTTTTATTTTTCATAGCAACAATAAATTCTAATGTAAGTTTTCAGAAATTTTAAAATGTGTTGGAGATGATCTAGAAAATTGATCGGGAGTAGACAGACTTTTCCTATGAAGAGTCAGACAAAAATATATTTGGATTTGGGCTATACAGTCTTTGTCACAACTATTCAACTTTGCTATTATAGTGGGAAGACAGCTATAGACAATGTATAAATGAATGGATATGGTGGATTCAGCCTATTGGTCATAGTTGGTAGACCCCCATAAACACTCTTTGTTTTAAACTAGAAATATATTTTGAAAATTTTGTGCATAAAAGTGAATTGTATTTTAGATGTATTTATTTATACATTTAATAAATATGTTGTGCCAGTTTAAGAGCTTATATGCCAGGAACTATGCGAAGTACTAGGCATAGAGCAGTGAACACTGCAGATATGATTTCTACTGTCATAGAGTTCACAATGTAATTGGAAAAACTGATACTGACCAAGTATTAAAATGCATTAGACAAAGGATAACATCGAGTGGGCTCACAATAAAAAGCCCTGTGGGTGAATCATTTTGTAAAATAGAAAATCCCTGTATATAGCCAGTAATCACTCCTTATGAATTCTTGTTTAAGATTTGTGCTACATTTTCCTTAAAAAATGTTGGCATTATAATATATTTTATCAAAGGTGAATTATTTAACCAAAGCACTTTTGTTACGCGCATTGAAAATAAATTAACATATGCATAACTAGAATTATAGCAAAGTCTACTTGATGTATAGTTTCCCTTTCAAATATAATTGCTGTTGAATTTTATTGTGTCTCAGCTTAGTATCATCTATTAATGTATAATGTTTATTTTTGGTCTGTAGAAGCCTATTATCCTCTGAAGGGACAGTTTATCTACATTCAGAAATTAAGGTATGAAATCAAACTTGTGAATGTAATTTAGGTTACTTTTTAGACTTTTCTTAGACAAAACAGAGACTCTAGAAATAGAATTTAAGCCTTGATGCTCAGAAGAGATGCCTTCATGTAATGTTGCTCATAAAATTTAATCCTTTGTCTCATAATTTCACTGAATAATTTGGAGATACGTTGGGAAAAATTCTAAGTGAAATGAGTCTATAACCTAAGTATTTTTAGTTTTTTTTCTGAAGCCCAAATTTACTAGATAGAAGACCTGGAAAAGAAAAGTATTGATATACAAAGAATATGATTTAAAAGGTTTTGTTCATCCATTTAAATATTTACAGTGTAGAGATCACTGTTGCAGGTGCTGGGCTTTCTGGGATCTACAAGTTCCCCACCCATGGGAATCTAAGCTGAGGTGACAGTATACAAGAAGGCTTGTCTTGGGGATAATCAGTAAGGAGAACTAAGTTCTGTGAGTCAGAACATCCAGTTTAACATCCAAGCTGGCTAAATATCCTTGACTCTTTGGGACTCATTTTCCTTATCTTTGAATCTCTTGGTCCTAGTGATATCTAGGTCTTCTCCGGTTATACAGTTCTTGGATTCTTTCAAACAGCAGTCTCCAACCTTTTTGGCACCAGGGACTGGTGCTCTTATGAGACTCTAATGCCTGATGATCTGAGGTGGAGCTGAAGTGGTGATGCTAGCGCTGGGGAGCAGCTGCAAATACAAATGAAGCTTTTTCGCTTGCTCACCTGCCACTCACCTGCTGTGTGGCCTAGTTCCTAAGAAGCCGTGGACTGGTACTGGTCTGCGGCCTGGGGGTTGCGGACCCCTGCTTTAAAACACAACTTGATAAATTTAAAGAAAATAATTTTTTTATGTAGCAAACTAGCAAGTCTGTGTTACAGAATTGCTTTCCTTAGCAAATGGTTAGAATCTAATTAATAGTTAAATTCTTTTCATGTAGCCAAAGACCAAAAACGTTGATCCAGTAAACAAGGTTCAAAACAAACTAAACTCTACAAATAAAGGAAGGAAAACAAATTCAAGGTATAGTATGGTTTAAAAGTATAGTTTTTAAAAATTTATAATTGACAGTATCATCATTCTTAATTATTAAGCTTGTTCCAGATCTTTTTATACCCCAAATATACAAAATTACACAATATATATCTATCCACATTCAATAATTTAAAACTTTTTCTACTCAGAAATGTCTTACAGCAGTTAATTTTGTACTGTTTAGAAAAATCACAATTCAAGTTTTTAAAATGTTACTTTTAGTGAGATAATTTCTTAGAACTATAATTAGAACCTAAGTGTCTTTTTCTGCCTCGTTCTCTCATATACTTTTTGAGCATTTAACAGGGCACCATATCTTATCGTATATAACGAGATAAAGAGTGATTTGGCATGCTCTAAATAAGACTATAGTACAATTATAATTTATGTTCTGTTGTTTTAATGAGAAAGAATTCGAGACTGTTTTTAGTATTTTAAGCATAAAATGGGACCCAAGAGGAGGCTCTTTGGATTGGAGACCTTCTAGAAAAGAGGGGTCACATCTGCAGTGGGTTGTACCAACCAACCTCTTATTTACAGTAAGTTATTAAATTTATGTATCTAATTACCCAAACTGATAATTGCATTATAACTCTGGAAAAATCTTTGTTAATTCTTGTGCCTTTTAATTGGCTAAGTAACTTTTTTCCCCCCCAATAAAAGTGAAAAAGTAGAGTGAAAGGATAGGAAGAGAAAATCTGAAATTGATTGAAGGTTATATATACTACATGCATTAGTACATACGCACATAACTGGAAAGGGTTATCTTATTTTTAGGTTTTAAAATTACTTTGTAAAAAAACAGTTGTTTTTCTAAATAGAATTCAGAAGCCTTTGTTTATGTGTTAAAAGTAAGTTAGACTTAAAATAAGTAAAAAATAAGGCTTTCGTAACCATAAACATTCCTCAAAGCCTTTAGAAATGACTTATTTCATATTTCTTCCCTTCATAAAAAAAAAATCAACATTTTGATCAACTTTGATCCTGATTAGAATATATTTCTTTAGGTTGAAAAATTGCTGAGTTTGACCTAATAACTGTTCACTCTGTAATTCTTTCTCAAGAGGTATTATTTTTCAGTGTTTGAAGAATTATGGCTAGAGTGCTATCAATTTGTATAGTTCTTCTCTAGCAGCATGTAAAATTAAAAGCCACAGGCTAGTTTGGTCCTAGGAGGCCAAGTTCAGTACTCTTGGTTTTGATGTTTACCTATTTGAAGGCAGTATCTAGACGAACTGGTCTCGTAAAGCCTTCTCTAACTCTATGGCTGTATAATCCCTAAAGATTGAAAGTCTGCTAAGCCTCTTATAATAGTCCTTGAAAGTATCAATTATAGATTTCAAAAATTTAAAATTTATAATAATTTTGATCTGTTTTTTAACTTGAATAAAAGTCATATCTACGAGTCATACTACTTTCTATATTTGTAAAATATAATGTACATTTAACATTTTTATTTTATTTTATTTATTTTTTTCTTATAGTGACATTGGTTAACGAAATCCAGTAAGTTTCAGGTGTACAATTTAGCAGTAAGGTGTATATATATATTGCATTGTGATAATGTACATTTTTTTGTATTTTCTTTTTTAGTATAAAATTGAAATACCCTGATGTACAGACTGTCAATGATGTTGCCATTCCGGAGGATTTCTCAGACTTTTCTTTTGCAAAAACAGTTAGCAAAATTGAAGAACAACTGGAAGAAGAAGGCTTACCTGATTATATAGAAGATGATATTTTTTGTGGTGTTAGTAAAGACATTGGAACAGGTAGGTTTTTCTTTTGTTTATTTTTATATCAAAATTACTAAGAAAAATATATTCGGGAACTTTTTTTTTGCATTTAAAAATGTATCGAGATGCCTTGCATTTGTTTCAGAATCATCTAGCGGGATGTGTTGAGAGGAATGAGTGGAATTATAGATGAAATAAAATTGATTATGAGTCAATAATTGTTGAAAATGGATGATAGTTAAACAGAGTTTCATTGAACTAGTGTCTTTATTTATGCACATATTTGGTATTTTTTATTATAAAAAATTTAAGAACGCCGTATGGTATTGTTTCATTGACCACTTTTCAACTAAGTTAAAGCTGATCATTAAAACATTAAAATTAAAATGTTTTCTTGAATTTTTTTATTTAATATTACTGTATTCTATTTATTGCATGTAAATTAACACATGCAAAAAGGATAAATGAATCGTTGATATATTTTCAGGTCAAGTGATCAAATGAGTTTCTAGTGAATGTAATTTTCTTTCATGTAAACTCATTTTCTTCATACCACTAGAAAAATATTACAAAGTTTAGATCATCTGAAAACATTATTTTAGTTACCAGTAATGCCTCTAAAATTGTTAAAGTTAAGCGGAACCACCTCTGCTATTGTAAACAAAAAATGAGACTATTGAGTGTATATGAACTATATGCTGAACTATAAGTAATTATAAGTTCAGTCAAGCTACTTAGCCCTTCTGAAATAGCAATTTATTAGTTTGAAACTTTAGCAGTTTGTATTAGATGATGACAAAGTTTATCTTTAAAATTCTGATTCTGTGAAAATCATAACAGTTATATATGTAATGATTATTGTGCTGTATGCTAGTCATAAATGAGCAATTTATTTATGTACTTATTATATTTACTGACCTATCTAAGCTTTCTGGGGCTAGTTGTGAGGGGGGAAGTTAAATGAAGCAGGAAGTTGCCTTTATGTCTCTGTTAAGATGCCTTCAAGGACATGAATGGTCAGATGTTGGCTGTTTCTCAGTACACAGTCACCCATAGCCCTGTAACAGTGTTCCTTCTCCCAGATACAGGGAATTAGCACAAACTACTGTAAATTACTATTTTAAATTGCAGTATCACCTCTATGTCGCTTTGCCTTCCTATCTTCCTTTTTGATAATTTTTGGCCTTGGAGTCTCCTCTTTTTTATTCCAGATAATTGCCTAGGGTTACATGTGGTGGAGTAAGGAGGCAATCAAAAAGTAGTTTAGCAGCACGGATTGCTTTGTAAGACTTAAAAGTTAGAGTGGGATGGGGAGGGACGTTAATGGTGTGGCCCTGCAGAGAAGAGAGCAGTCAGCTCCTTGACAACACTACTAAGGATAGAGTTGGGGAGAGAAAGAGATGGAAAAAGCCATGCTCTCCCATTCTTCCTTCTTTTTCCCTAGAGACCAATTACTGCAAACTTCACACTTTTGAATTCATCATTTTCCTTCTGTCCCCTGCTAACCTGATGTTACATGAGAGGCTAGGAGAGTTGAGGCTAGAGAAATCGAGGTGGCTTAGAACCAAAGTTTATTATCCCCATGGTAATACTGGGGACACTACCTATTAGGAGCTTTGGAAGTGTGTATGGAGATGTTTTGTGCTCTGCAAGATTTATTCTAGTGACTCCTCAGAGACAGTTCAGAGTGTTAACTCAAGGTAAGCTCCATGAGGGCAATGCTTGCTTGTAATATCCCTACTATACCTGGAACATAGTAGAGACTTAATGTATATTTTTAGAATAAATTATTGAATGAATTACTAGGGAGTTCTAAGTTCATTTTTCATTTTATTTACATTTAAAAGCCTATAAACCTCAAAGATTTACTGCTGATGTTATTAAATAAAGAACTTTTGCTAGCAATGAAACACCAAAGGTAGATCTTAACGAGGGTTTGTGGGAGAAAGTTTCAGCAGTAAGATGTTAGTGTATTTCTTTGTTTCTAAGATAGCTGTCCCCAACGTTTTTGACACCAGGGACCAGTGCTCCTATGAGAATCTAATGCCCGCCGATCTGAGGTGGAGCTGAGGCAGTGATGTTAGCGCTGGGGAGTGGCTGCAACTACAGATGAAGCTTTGCTCTCGCTTGCCACTCACCTCCTGCTGTGTGGCCCAGTTTCTAATAGGCCACAGACTGGAGCCAGTCTGCTGCCCAGGGATTGGGGACCCTGTTCTAAGACACATACAGTACATTTTAACTTCTGTGAAACTGGGATGTATCTTAGAGTCAAAGGCATTTTATAAACACAATGGTTGGATTTGAAGTAGTTTTGCTAGAGAGGATTTGTATTTATTTCTGCCAAACACTTGGGGACATTACTGACTTGAGACCACTTTAGATTCTGTTTGAGGTGCTTCGGACCACCTTGGTGAGTATAAATTTAGTATTCATACTTACATGAATACTAGTTTATGGTTCAGATTCTCAGGAGTGGTTTTTTGGTTGTTTTTCCCCTTTCTTTACTTGGTTCCATTGTTAAGATATAAACAGTTTGTTTCTGTTGGGTCGACTTGTTTTTCGTTTACTTTTTCATTAGTGATATTTAGGGTCTTTAGTGTTCCCAAACAGGGATTTCCTGTTAGGCTCCCCATCTTGAGCATTTTTTCTCTCATAATATAATGGTCTTATAGTTGATGACATCTTAGATTCAGTGAAAGGCAATAAATATAATTATTTAAATCCACAGAAGCACAGATCAGATTTCTGAAGGCTAAACTTCGTGTTATGCAGGAGGAATTGGATAATGTTGTATGTGAATGCAATAAAAAGGTAAATTTTTAAAACTTTACAATATAAATGCTCTAATATTCAAACACAATTTAGGAGCAGTTTCAGTTATATTTTTAAAATAGTTTCATTGAGATATAATTCACAGTTAAATTTTGAATTCAAAAGTTGTTTGTAAAAACAACTTCATTCTGTGCTGAGATGTTGAATTTTTACACAGATAATTTTAAATATTTGTTAGCAATTAGCATTTTCTATATTTGACTTTCAAGTGTAAGCTATTAAATACAAAATATCAGACTTCTGTTTTTGAAGATGAGAATCAGAGATCCCATGAAGTTCTGCTTTATGTTTTGATAGCAAATCTTGTGTGTTTTTTATATAACCTATAATTTCATAACTATAGGAAGATGAAATCCAGGATTTAAAGTCTCAAGTAAAAAATTTTGAAGAAGATTGTGTGAGACAGCAGCGAACAATTAATTTGCAACAGTCTCAAACAGAAAAATATAAAACTCTTTTCGAAGAAGCAAACAAAAAGTGTGATGGATTACAGCAACAGCTGTCTTCAGTAGAAAGGGTAATTATTTTGCTGTTTTTCCTAACCTAATGTCAAAGATGCAGTAAAACATTAGTTACATGTTTGTATAGCCACTACTTTGGGTTTAATTCTTTTGTTAGTATTGACTAAAAACTCTCCCCCCATATATAGGAGAATTTTTTTTTTTTCAATTACTGTTAGTTTCAGGTGTACAACATAGGGATTAGACATTTATATAACTTACAAAGTGATCACCCTAGTAAGTCTAGTACCCATCTGACACCATATTTATTACAATATTATTGACTATATTCCCTGTGCTATATTTTACGTCCCCATGACTATTTTATAACTACCAATTTGTGTTTCTTAATCCCTTCCCCTTTTATACCTATCAAAACATTCTATATCTATGAGTTTCTCTTTTGCTTATTTTGTTCTTTGGATTCCACATATAAGTGAAGCCATATGTCATTAGTCTTCTCTGTCTGACTCTACTCAGCCTAATACTCTCTAGGTCCATCTATGTTGCAAATGGCAAAATTTTGTTCTTTTTTATGGCTGAGTAATATTCCATTGTATATATGTACCACCTCTTTATTTATCCATTGATGGACACCCAGGTTGCCTTCTTATCTTGGCTATTGTAAATAATGCTGCAATGAACATATGGATGCACATGTCCCTTCAAAGTAGTGTTTTGGGTTTCTTCAGATAAATACCCAGAAGGATTTTTGATTACTGAGGATTACTGAGTCCTTCTTTGTTGCTTATTATTGCCTTTGTTTTAAGGTCTGTTTTGTCTGGTATAAGTATTGCTATCCAACTTTTTAAAATTTTCATTTCCATTTTTATGAAATATCTTTTTCCATCCCTTTCAGTCTGTGTGTGTCTTTTGATCTGAAGTGAGTCTCTTTATAGGCAGCATAAGAGAGGTCTCGTTTTCTTATTCAGCCACTCTGTCTTTAGATTAGAACATTTAATTCATTTACATTTAAAGTAATTGATAATATGTAATTATTGCTATTTTATTATTCACATTTTTATCTTTTTTCTTAAAGAAGTTCCTTTAACATTTCTTCTAATGCTGATTTGGTGGTGATGAACTCCATTAACTTTTTTTTTTTGATCTTGGAAGTTCTTTATCTGTCTTTAGATTCTAAATCACAGCTTTGCTAAGTAGCGTAATCTTTGTTGTAGGTTATTTTTTTCATCACTTTGAATATTACCTGCCAATCCTGTCTGGCCTGCAAATTTCTGTTGAGAAATCAGCTGATAGTGTTATGGGAACGCCCTTATAAGGAACTAACTGCTTTTCTCTTGCTATTTTTAAGATTCTCTGTGTCTTAATCCTTTGACGTTTTAATTCTAATGTGTCTTGGTGTGCACCTCTTTGGGTTCTTTTTTGGGACTCTTTGCACTTCCTGTGCTGATATGTCTATTTCCTTTGCCAGATTAGGAAAGTTTTCAAGTTTTCAAAACTTTTATTTCTTCAAATAAGTTTTCAATCGCTTACTGCCTTCTCCTTCTGGTATCCCTGTGATGCAAATATTGGTACACTTGATGTTGTCTCAGAGGTCCCTTACACCAGTGGTCCCCAACCTTTTTGGCACCAGGGACCGGTGCTCCTATGAGAATCTAATGCCTAATGATCTGAAGTGGAACTGAGGCAGTGATGCTAGCACCGGTCCATGGCCCAGGGGTTGGGGACCCTTACTAAACTATCCTTATTTTTCTTTTTTCTCTTTGCTGGTCTGATCAGGTGTTTTCTGTGACCTTGTCTTCCAAATCACTGACTCAGTCATCTGCTTCATCTAATCTGCTCTTGATCCCATCTAATTTATTCTTACCAGTTATTGTATTCTTCATTTCTGAATGGTTCTTTTTTTATGACTTCTATATCTTTGTGTAAGTTCTCACTGAATTCATCTGTTCTTTCCCTTGGATCATTGAGCATCTTTATAACCAGTGTTTTGAACTCTGTGTCTGGTAAATTGCTTGCCTCCATTTTTTTTAGTTATTTTTCTTGAGTTTTGTCCTGTTCTTTCATTAGGGACATGTTTTTTTGTCTCCTCATTTTGGCTGCCTACTTGTGTTTGTGTCTATGTATTAGGTAGATATGCTACATCTCCAAATTTTGGCAGAGTGGCCTTCTGTAGTAGGGCCTAGTGACATATTCTCTCTGGTCACCTAAGCTGGGTGCTCCACGGGTGTCCCTTGTGTGGTTTGTGTATGCCTTCTGGTTATAGTTGAGCCTTGATTGCTGTTGGCATATCATTGAGTGGTATTGACCCCCAGGCTGACTCATTGTGCAGACTGGCTATGACTACAAAGAATGATCTCTTGTATGGGGCTGACTCCTATAGACTGAGATTCACTTTAGCTGGGCTCTGATGCCTCTGATTCCAAGTCCACCATTGGGTGTGTCATTTGTAGAGTTGGTTAGGTGGTACTTCGTGTTATCTGAAGCTGGCCACGAGGTATGTTGATTCTGGGGCCTCTTGGAAGGAGGTTTGGTGCAAACCAAGGTCAGCTGCAGCCCGTGCCTGGTCCAGGACCACCTGGTAGGTGCTACAAAGTAATTCGTGCCTGTGCTGGTGTTGGAGGCTCCTTTAAGGCTACCCTGCAAACTGAAGACAACTGCCACTAGTGCCAGGTGTGGGGCCACTTAGCAAAAGAAATATAGGGCATAATTGAAATAAGATACTGTTTGGGGTTTGTGGACCTTTGAGCAATTTAAGGAAAGTCTTCAGCATTAACTGAGGCTGGCCGCTTGTGTGGAACAGCTGCTGATGATGTTTGAGCCTGATGGGTGAGTTAGGTGGGGTGGAGTTTCAGGGAATCACCAGAGTTGGGTGAGCAGTGTTAGGCAGGTTAAGGGGGACTCAGATTTGGCATTCACCTGTGCCCACAGGCTGGGTGGGAAGAAGGCACAACAAAGGAACAATGGAGCTTGCCAGTGCTTCCTAGAGAGAGCTGCCCTGACTCCTGCCCCTCTAGCCTTAGCCCTGAAGCTAGTTAATTCGACTCCTTCCCATATGTCCCTGGCACTTTTCAAGCAAGTGAGTCTGTGAGCAGGCCCTTTAAGATTTGCAATGCCTAAGTCTCTAGCAGCCTATTGTCTGTCTCAGACATAAACCCCATTGGTCTTCAAGCCAGACTTATGGGGACTTCTATTTCTGGCACTGGTGCCCTGAGATGGAAAGTCCCATGTGGGGCTGAGACTTCTCGCTCCTCAGATGGGACCTCCACAGCCAAGATATCCCTCCTGATTCTTAACCACCACACTGTGGGTGTGGGACCAGCCCATTCTTCATCTCCATTTCTCCTACCAGTCTTGGCGTGGCTTCTTATTTATATCCTTAGTTATAGGAGTTCTGTTTTCAGGTCATCTTCAGGTGGTTCTCAGTGATAATTGTTTTATAATTTAGTTGTAATTTTGATGTGATTATGAGAGGAGATGAGCACTGCAATTACCTTCTCTGCCTTCATGACAGGAAGGCACAAGCTTAGTCCCTTTAAAACCTGGTTTTAAGTTTTGCTAGGGTGTGTCTAGAGTAGCCTCAGGAATTGTTCAGTTGTACCACTGTTTTCCCCTAAAGAGACCTTCCAGGATCTCACTGAGTGCCCCAGCTGATCACTCAAGACTGTTCATTCTGGCAAGTAGAGCTCAAATGTCTTCCTGCTATGTGTGAGCTATGGGAATTGTTCTATTTACAACTCCGTGGTTGTTCTTTGCCTTGCCAAGCTTCCCTATGTGCAGGTGTGGCCTACTCCTCAGTAGACTCAAAGGATTTCCTATGTAGATTCCTTAAGTTCTTTCCTAATATAGTTTCTGCTTACTCGAATCCTCCACACAAATTTTGGCTAGCTCAGTCTCCTCCAGTTCTGATCTCTGTCTCAACTCAACAGACCTCTTATCTCTTTTTGTTTTCTCCTTCCTGTACCCACAGTGTGGATATTGCTTTTAGCCAGGAGTAATTGTAGGACTACCTCATTTGTTTACCTTCTTTCTGGGATCAACAATCCTAATATTTTCCAATATCTCTAAACAGTTATTGAGTATTTTGACTATTTTTTTCTAATTACTTACAGTGTTTTTTTTTTTTTTATGGTAGACCCTTATTATTTCATCATGGCTGGAAGCTTTAATATCTGTTTTGTTTTTCTGGTGAAATTAAAGTCAGTAGGTACACTGCACAAGGTTCTCTGACCATGGATAATGTCACATGAACACTCAGTAACTCACCTTTTTAAGAAAAAGTCTACTCACTTGTTACCTTGCTCCAGCTAAAATTGAGCTTTTTGTCATTTCCTAAAGATGCCTTGGTCTTTTCTGCTTTCATAGCAAAACTCCTCAAAAGCATTTTTTCAGCTTGAAGTCATTTCTTTATCTTCAAAAAAGCTTTTTTTCATTTTTGTCTATTTTATACTATAAAGCCATGATATTAATGGTACCTTGTTTAATAGTGTACAGTTTATGAGTTGCTCTCATATACAAATGTACATATAATAGTTGTATACTCTCATAATATTTTAATTATATATATCTGCCCCTTCCTGTGTTCTTTATTCTCTTCTTCCCCAGCTTAGTTTCCATGATACACAATTATCCATTGTCTATAGTTTTAATTTGCCTGCCTATGTGGTGTGTGGGTAAAACTCAACCCTAGTCAATCCTAATTTACTCCCTACTGCAGGCCTACTCATGACCAGTAGATTATGGCTGGACAAAAATACACTGCTAAGTGGATTGTTCCTACTTTAAAATTATTTACAAATATCGAGTGTAGTGCTATTTTCCTCTTCTACTTTTTGAGAGGTCAGTTCTCCCTCCCACTTTCAGAGGTGATTTTTTTTTTTTTTTACAGATGATCTTTTCATCTCATTTTCCTATTCTCAGTTCATGAGTTTGCCCCCTATTTTACTAAGAAAACAGAATCAAAAGATAACTCTTCCTCATTCTATCACTAAATCTATTGATTTTTCTGCCTCAATGTCCATCTGTTCTGCTTTCTCCCTCATTATGATGCATTACT